CCCCCCCCCCCCCCCCCCCCCCCCCCCCCCCCCCCCCCCCCCCCCCCCCCCCCCCCCCCCCCCCCCCCCCCCCCCCCCCCCCCCCCCCCCCCCCCCCCCCCCCCCCCCCCCCCCCCCCTTAATGGAGAAGTCAACGGTGATCTGTTAGAAGCAACCAAGAGATTTGACTACGTATTTGATGAATTATGCGTTACATCTGATGGAGCAATTATGAGGAATGATAAAATTGTTATTCCAGAAAGCTTATATGATCGTGTAATTGATATAGCGCATGATGGATATCAAGGTCTCAAGAAAACAAAAGCATTATTGAGATCAAAAGTGTATTTTCCAGGTCTAGATAAATTGGTTGAAGCACGTTTGAGTAGTTGTTATACTTGCTAAATAAATTCGCCAACAGTGCAACATGAACCATGTCAAACGTCAGAATTACCATCAGGCCCATGGCAATTAATTGCATTAGATTTTTATGGCCCAACTGAGTCAGGTACATATTTATTATTGATTATAGGCGAATATTCACGATTTATAATAATCCATGAAGTGAATACAACAGCATCGCATTATGTATTACCAAAATTACACGAATCATTGTCACTATTTGGTATTCCACAAATAGTTAAAACTGACAATGGCCCACCGTTTAATGGAGCTGAATTTGGCAATTTTTGCAACTATTATGGCATAAAACATAGAGCTATTACATCATATTGGTCAAGAGCTAACGCAGAAGCTGAGAGGTTTATGCAAAATTTAAAAAAGGTATTCCAAAATGCAAATATAAATCAAATAGATTGGGATTTTGAATTGAATCGGTTTCTTGCCGCATACAGAGCAACTCCTCATTCAACCACAGGAATAGCACCGTCAAGTTTATTATTTAAGCACGAGTCCTGTTCAAGATTAATTCAATTATATGAGAAACGTCCATTTCAATTTAATAATGATGATATTTCAGCTAAATTGAACGACGAGGTAAATAAACAAAAAATGGCGAAAGATTTCGATAGCAGACATAAAATCAAAGAAGCAAATTTTAAAATTGCCGACGAAGTCTTATATCAACCCCCAAAGCACAAAATATCAAATAAAAAGAATCCCAGAAGACATACAGAACCAGACAAAACATTAGGTATAAAAGGGGCAATGATAACAGTTGGCCGTGGTGATATCAAATTTACAAGAAATTCATCGCATTTTACATTATTCAAAAAGAGAAATAACCTATTAAACAATCATAATCGATTTTATTGTTCCAATCCCCCTTCAACCAAATCATCTTCTTCAAATGATCTACCAATTATTCCCACTGATTCAGATCGAACAATCATTCCATTAAGAAGATCCACTAGAACAAGAAAGCCACCAGATCGTTTACAGTATAAATAAGCAAACAACCGTTTCTTTTGCTAAGAACTCAACTATTTTACGATTTTATTTTGTTGAATTTTATTTTTTTGTGGAAAAAAAAATGGAAAAGTTGAGGGAGGATGTGGGGTAGTGAATAATCATTTGTTTTAAAATGATGTTTTTGATTTAATGTTAGTACATCTAGATATTCGCATGCCTATTGTATCTTATATAATCTCACTTATTCTCGAAGGTTCTAGACTAATGTCCAGGCATGAATTAAGACTACAATGTCACGCGAATATCCCTAGAATTTTCTACTGATATATAAAGGCATTCGTTTTGTGATACAAGTAGTTATTTATCAAGTTCTATGAAACAGGCGACGTAAGAGAAGTTTTAGTCAAAGTAAAATTGTTATAATACAAAGGAAAGGAGAATCAGTGAACGACCGCCTCGACATTGAGCTAAGTCATATGACACGTTGAGTCGGAAGCTTGAACTATGATGGAATTCAAGCAATTCAACAAGATCATAAAAGATATTGAGTTACCGCCTGGAACTATCATGAAATGCAAGACATTCAAGAAAAGCAACGAATTCAAGAAATTGAACGAAATTCTAGAAATTCAAGCAGTTTAACAAGGTCATATAACCTATTGGGTTATAAGCTTACGATATGATGGAGCTCAGGGAATTCAAGAAAATCAAGCAATTCAAAAAATTCAATCAGGTCAGAAAAGATACTGAGTTATACCTTTGAACTATCATGAACGATTCTTGAATTCCATGATAGTTTACACTTATAAGTATCTTATGTGTCTTTGTAAATTGCTTGAGTTGCCAATTTTTGAAGATCAAGAACTCTGAGTTAGCAATTCGATAGAGCTTAAACAGTTTGCTGATACCTCCTGGCAGACTGGCGCAATAAAAGAGGTACGGCCAAGTAATGAATGCCTTTACGGTCAATTAGTTGCGTAATAGGCTTCTTTAAAAATCACATACATTTTTTCCATGAAGGTAACAACAAAACCTACTACGGATTCCGTAGTACTTTTAATACCATCTTCCTTCTAAAATAACTAAGATTTGCTTATTTATTCGAATTTTCAGGCGCCTGTTGAAACCAAAACGCCTTAAAACGCGTTCAATAATTCAATCGCGTTCAGAATATCAAATATCTACAGCGTGCAGAGGCGTTTAATAATACGAACGCTCTCAAACGCCGTTGTAACTTGTTTCAGAACAGCGTTCAAACGCGTTTTCTCCCAAAATTTTCCGAGAACTAGCGTTCAAACGCGTTTGTTCGAACGCAAACGATATATGGCTTATGAGAAAAGCCCCATCGTTATACTATAGTTGCTAGTCGTTATGAAATCGTTATGTTATAGCGGCCAAATCTTCTAAAATAGGCTCATTGACTTTGAATGTGTTCATTGTATTCAATAAAATTACTTCAAAGTTAATTGTAAATGTGTACACTAAACAAATTCAAAATTTATAGTAAAATTTAAAAAAGGTTTTTTGAAGAACTCTTCAAAATCTAGGAAGATCAGGTACTGAAACTTTCATAAACATTTTCAGTTATTCATTTTTCAATTTCCCTTCGAACGCCGTTTGAATGAGCTCGGTTTCATCTTGCTGAGCTGAGATATTTAAAAATGAAAATTCAAGATTGAAAATTGGAAAGTTGAGATTGAGACCTTTTTATAAAATGTGCGTCTTCAATGCTGGATACGAATATTACCTTCAAAGTTAATTTCTAACGTTTAGTTGTTTTTTAAGCTAATTCTACTCGGAACCTGTACGTCGAAAACCGTGGTTTTCTAGAAGCTCTACTTCCGAGCACTTTGAAAGAAACATTCCGCTAGACCAAAGAAAGAGCATGTCGAGAAACTATTAAGCGCCAAAAAACGAGTAAAAGCGTACGGTACTGAGTGTGACGGACGTACATACATATAGTCATCTGGCAGTGTGACGGACGTGCATGCCCGTATTGACTAACGGGGACCTTTGGTGACCTCGTGCATATGCGCATCGAATGCACTGTAGTTGATTACCTAGAGATTAGCCGCTTCGCGTATCCCATTGGGACTTTATTCCATTGACTGTAAATGTATGGTCAAACCAAATAAATGGTTTGTGTGTTTGTCCGCACAGAGGTGTGACGGACTTCATTGCAGCTGTTCTTAACAAAAGAAAAACTACAAAGAGAACAGTAAACCTGGAGAATTGTCCATGTTAACGAAATCAGATGTTTCTTCTTAAAATTATGGCTAGAGAGACCGAATATTCACAG